AGGTGAAAAGGGGAAGGGGCATTTTTTCAAAGTAAAAGCGCTTCTTACAGAGTTAAAGGGGCACCATTCCTAAGTTAAAAGGGTCACTTTTGGGTTACTTGCCCCCCCCCCCCCAACATAAGAGATCATAAAGAGAAATGATTGTTTTAAATATGAGATCAGTAAATCTTTGCGAAACCAGTAGCTGCGCGATCACAAATGGAACTCATGTGCATGGTGGCTGCACGGAGCGTATTTCACTTGTCGCCCTCTGTTGTTCAATTTTCCAAATGCCAGTAAAGCATTAGTGTAGTGGTGGTTTAGTGGTGCTAAGAAAGCAAATTAATTTTGCCATACTGACCAGACAGAAAACAGTGGCAAATCGGGGAAAGGAGGGGTGATCATATTATAATTGTTATTATCTTTTATAATTTTTATTGTATTATTATTATTATTATTATTATTATTATTATTATATAATATTTAGTTTGCTCTTCGCGGTTTCACAGCATATTTACAGTTCAGATTTCAGAAGTAGAACCATGTACTCAGTGCTTATCTAAATTAATCATAGGCCCAAGTCATGATGTTATACCCAAGGTCAAACATAATTTAATTCCCTTTCTGAGACTGTATGAAATATAATAATAATAGCCTTGCCATAATACTCTTTGATTGGAATACTGGATGATAAATTCTGTCAAAGAATGATATGGGACGAGTTTACCTTTTCTCATGAGTTTGTATTCTACAACAAAATTTGATATTGTTATTGCTAGACATTTATGACAGGGAACATTTAGGCATAGAGAATGGCACACTTTCACTATGATTACTACCACTAACACAATCATTGTAATGATGATCATTATCACTATTATCATCACCAACATTAACAGGCATCTCCATCACCATCATCGGCAGCATCACTATCATTATTTTTAAGTTCACCACTATCAAGAACATTATCACCAGGATAATTATCAGCAAAGATATGATAGAGAGCATCAAAGGTTTTAATCAAACATCTTCAGGCTTGACGCTAGGCCGGAAAAGGGGGTTCAGAATCATGAATAGATCTCCACCACAACCACCACCACCACCACCACTAGAACCTAGAACCCAGACATGTTATCACTACTATTACCATATCTGCCATCGAAACGATTATCAACCTTATCATCATCCTCCATCATAATCGTCATCATCTTTACCATCACCATCACCAATTCACCATCATCTTCTTCATCATCATCATCATCATCATCATCATCACCTTTATATCTTCTATCAACTTCATCACCACATCATCATTACTATCATCATCACTGTACCTATCAACATCATTATTGTTATGATTTCACCTTCAATATCACTATCACCATCATCACTATCAACCAAAATCATCATCTTCATCATCATAATCATCTTGCATGTAATTACTATCAGAATTATGAAGATCAAGAAAAACGACACAAAGAATTTCACAGACACAATTGCACTAAAGTTGAACAACTTTTATTACATTCTTGTACTGTGTGTATAACAAGACTGTCATATTTCCATTCAGACATGCAAAACATGTGATACCTTACATTTTATCGGATGCATACTAATAATTCTCCATGGCAATAGCTATAATGCAATCATTTTATTTAAATATATAAGATCAGCAGAATAATTTTCCATTCTCAGATTTCGCACAGTAATGCAATATAAACTTTCACATCATACCAAAATTCTTTTGAAGTGATAATTCCAGGTTCTCGTACAGGCCTGTGACAGCTTAGGCCATTATGGTGAAATATCAAATGAAGGCTCATTTATAATAATTGAGAATCATTTATTGCGTACTGTCAAAGTTTATTTTAATTCAATATCGAGTTGGCTAAATTTGGCAATGAATGAATCATAAAAAAAAAGAGTCTCCAAACAATTGGTTTCTAAAAATTCATGTTGTATTTCTCTTTAGTATGGAAGGTATTGCAATTATCATGATCTAATCCAAGGGTTAATGTTATGAGAATTAGAATAATTAGATCTCATGATCAATTTTCAATATTGTCCGAATTCTGTTTTGTAAGAGTCATGGCATGGTGGGACCTATTATAGGCTATGGAAAAAACAATGATCATGATTCCAAGTTTACAAAGACTCTGACAAGTTCTTCGTACTGTACATCCAAACACACATATATTACAAAATACAAGAATGTACAGACATATATATACCACTACAATACTCATGCAGAAGCAAATAACATATTGAAAAATATTCATATTTATATATAATATATATATACTGTCTCTGTCTCTATATTTATTAACTAAGAAATTGTGTCCTACTCTCATTGTGTATACCGGTAATTTTAAACAAAATGAACAATTGCAGCTCAAAAGGAATTTAATAATTGCAGTTTTGTTCTGGTTATATTATGTTGGACAGGATGGCCACATCTGGCCACTTGAGAGCGAGAATTTCATTTAATCTTCCATTTTGTTAAAAACCTGTACCGCTTTCTGAAAGAGATACAATCACTTTAAAAAACATAATTGTTTAAGTTTTAAATAGTACAGATTTTGTACATATATCAAGCTCAACAGGCTTCAGGCTTTAATTTTGCATAACTAGATAAATAGAGAAATATGGCAAAATCCTAATTGATTTCTCTGTGGGTAGCCAACTGCATATATTGTTTTTCAGAAATTGAATTGAGAGAAATCTGACAATTTGAATTTTACAAATGATTTTAAAAGCTTTTCACCATTTAAACACCAGTTGAATAATTTATTAATTTCAATATTACCGTACTGAATACTTCAAAGGTTTTCTGTCAGAGTTAATAATAAGGAACTGTATACCAAAGCATGGCTGAATAGTTTTGTTTGAAAATGGATACTTATGATTGTAAGAGACAAGTAGGGAGTTTTGTAGCAGTAAAAATATAAATGACATAGACAAATGCATAATGCACTACCATGAATACATATGCAGCTAAAAACTTTGTATTTTTGTACATAAAAGTTTTTAATAAATATAAGATATAAGAAGAGAGATAGAGAGAACACGCAGATAAATTATTCACAAATAAATTGCTCAAAACAACTTGGCACTTGGGAGCTCATAAATACAACATACAAAAGAAACATTGATTTTTCCTTCATTTCATTCATAAACCATACAATGAGTTGTAAATATCACATGTTTATAATTGAAGGAAAAAACAAAGCACATAATATAAAATCTATCAATTAATATAAAATTGATAACCAGTAATTTACCTAAAAATATGTGATGCAAACAAATTGCAATTTAATTTTTTTGGTTTTTTGAAAAATAGTTTTTGTTTTATAATTTTCTTGAAAATGCAAAACTAACTGACTAAAAATGAATACACAAACAAAATATTCAGACTTGTGTTTTTGGTATCATTTTGAAATCAATTTTGTTTAGTTTCAAACAATCCATGCATGAAGGTGTTTTAATCAGTGTTGTTTTGTTAAAGTTCATTGACCCCATCTGTGAACTCCCAAATTAGTCTTGCTATGATACTCTTCTATGAATACAAACCATTTCAATGAATCTGATTGTATGACAGTGTTTTCAAGTACATATGAAACATATATATAGTCAAATCATTTTTGTTATGTTTTCTTCAGATATAAGAACAAAATCAAAACAATGCCATGCATATTTTTTTTTAAAGTACAGCAAGAAAACATCCTATAGAAGAACAATCTCATATAAAATTACATTGATATAGAATCATGCAATATTTTTTTTTGTGGAGGGGGTTATACTTACAGGTCAAAATTTCTATATTTTTTATGAAATGAAAAAGAAAATCCACTCCTAAAAAACCCACTAGAATATACATAGCCTCTTTAACTGCCTCATACCACTGTACTTCACAGTTGGTTTGCTTGCTTTCTTGGTATTTGTTACTCTTGTTTCAAAATGTTCAACATTTATAGAAAAAGTTGACATGCAAAAACATACAACAGAGTCTATAATATAAGCCTGGTCCCACAATCAGGTTTCCCCTTCTTGAGTTGTGGAGATCATACAATTTATGCATAAACACGTACAATCAAACCTGCTCTAGTGACCACCTGTATAGAAAGACCACATTTTCTGTTTCCCTTAAAAAGAGTTTCTCATTGAAATGTGTACTAAAGGAACTACAAGGTAGTATGTAGAGACCACCTTGCTATGAAGACTGCTTTTCTTGTCTCCCTTGAGCGGTCTTTACAGACAGGTTTCACTGTACCTGTGTTAAGAAAAGTATATATATATACTATATGTACTTAAAGGGGCTGTACACTGCAGAGAGAGAGAGAGAGATATTGCATGAATCTGTGGGATCAGGCTTTGTAGTTTGTCCAATCTGAGTTTCATACTGTTCAAACACGATTCATTGTCGAAAGGCTAGATAACAATGGCTAACATGAACATCGACAAGTCTATCCACACGAGACATCATCAACATAAGACATATTCCTCTTTAAAATTCATCACTCATTTTAATACACAAAAATAATGAAAAAATCTCTTCAATTATCCTAGAAAATACCTGCAAATACTATCAATAAATACTAAGATGAATTTTCATCGATTGTAAATTTCATAAAAACTGTACAGATTTGAGAGCATTAAAAAATGTGCTTCAAAATTTATTTCATTTACAGAATCAAGGCAATTGAATTCATTCCATATCACATCTCAAATTCATTAAAATTTATTCACTTGGTTGTGCTCCTTTAAAAAGTGCCAAATATTTAAAAAAAGCATGATAAAACATCCTTTGCTCATGATGTTGGATGATTATTTCAAAATTTAAACTGCTGACCTTTTTGATCAACTTATTAACTTTTCATTTTATGAAATCGATTGTATAGCTTTTTAAAAATAAGATGATATACAGCATGCTATGAGACCCAATTCATGCATGCATTGCATTGACTGGCTCCCTCTATAGTCCATTATTACAGAAGCGGAGTTTATCAGCACCAATCTCCAATTCTCCATGCAGGAAGTCTTCCTCTTTGCGCCGGCCCCTCTCCTCCTCGTCTGCTCAGGGCGTCTTGACCGATGTTTTGGAGGAGGAGCCTAGCATCACCTTGGTAACGAAGCTGACGATGGCAGAGGCGGGTTGTTCGACCTCCCAATCAGCGAAGAGATGGCACTGGTTGTCTGTCAGGCTGCCTGGTTTGCGGGCAACGAATCCAAAGATTCTGCAGAACAAACACAAAGAGAAGGGGTGGTGATTAAAAACTTGAATACCTCAGACAACTTTTGGGATAAAAATATTCTACAAAAGAACTTCTTCAGAGGTGCCAATACAATAAATTGCACGATGCTCGTAGATAATTCGTAGCCCGTAGCCTCCTACGATGTCTACGAAAAATCGTAGATCCATTTATCGTACGGCGCCCGGGGCAAATGTAATCCAGGCATAAGTTAGGTCAGGTTCTCTCAAAAATTTAATTTAATTTCCCAAAATTGGCTCTAAAAGATATACGCTAGGTAGATGTATACAAAGGAATGCTCTCTGATAACAATTTGTACAAGCACAATGCTAATGAAAATATTGATTTAACATTTTTAATTAAAAAAGCTTACTTTGCTTCAGCAACTTCTTGCCCTTCTCTCCTTGGGTATCTACAAAAAAAACAAAGAATAATTGGAGACGTTAAAATAACTCACAGTAGAAATGACTAAATTGAAAATAATTGGTATTTTACAATAAACAAGCTGGGCGAAAAAAAAAAAAACTGAATTAAAAAAATCAATTGTTAATGCTATTGATAAATGCAAATATAACAATAACAATACAAGAACAACATGACAAGCCATCGCGACTTAAACCACAAAGTAAGGTGGCAAAAATGTACCACCAAAGATGTAGATGACTGTTGGTGCATACCATTATGAGCAGCACGCAAGCTACACATTGATAAAGAGAATTCTATCTAGGCAGTTTCCAAATTAAGATACACCTTTAAGAATGCCGGTCTCTCTACAAGTAATGCCATGGAGAATCATTCTGCAGCAGAATTTATCAAGAATTATCTGCAGTAGCATCATAACAGATGATTCAATAGACAAGCAGTCTATTTCAAAGTAATTACAATTTTGCAAACTGTTTGATTTAAAAACATGAGGGAGAGTGAACTCATTGAGTATCTAGACCCATAATGTAAATGAAAAATTCAAGAGTTTTGAATGGCTTACTTTCTTGCAAGTGGGTCCATTCCACAGAACAGGATAGACTTGACAGGGTAGTGCTTTCTGAAGAATAACCTGTACAACAGAAAAACACAACAAGTTCATTAAAACACATTCTTAGATGAATCGTATTCTATGTAATTTGTGTTTTTCCTTTCCTTGCAGAGGAGAATAAAACACTAGAATGTCATGAGTGAAAGATAAGAGATTTGAAATAGCGTTGAAAGCCCCATCTCTGTTTATGCATTTTAAGTACCTGGAAGCAGTGTAGTATGGGTTTTTCAAACCTTTTAGACAATTATAAGACATGTTTTTCATACTGTCTGAATATTGTATACACTGATTGACATACCGGTAAGCATTGTCTATTTTTCTTGGTGTCTTGCAATTTGCTCTAGTCACCACTGGCCCAGGCTTTACTTCATCATAGTTATAGGGTTCGGGTTGCGATTTGGTTTATGGTTAGATTTAGGCTCAGAGTAGGGGTTAAAATTAAAAGTTATATACCAGTATGATGTTTATCCAGGTATTTGGTTAGTGCGGGATATTGAGAGACGCTCAAAAATGTGTTATAGAACTATTCTCTTTTCTTGCAGAGAAGATAAGATGATGAGAAGACTTACTTTCTCTGTGTATCTGTGAGTGTGATGCCCTTTGAAGACACCTTGAAGTGGACGACGACAGGCTCAGGTTTCTTCTTGGCACTCAACGTCTTAGTCAAGCCTTCCCGTACAGATTCTGATCCAGTCAACGATTCCATGTCCACACTGTCAATGTACAGCACTTTGCATGCTAGAAAAGGGAAAGGAAAACAATGAATGTGAATATATTGTTTTATGAAGACAGACAAAAGTGTTGACCAATTGACCGAGAAAAAAAACGCGGCATTTATTAACTTGCAGGGTGTACTTTCATTACTGTAGGGGCTCTTTTCTTGATTCGGGGGGGGGGGGGGGGGGGGGGGGGGGAACCCCACTATCCTCCCGTTCTTCCATTGGGCAGCATTCCTCTATCTTTTCCATTATCTCTTTATCAGTCACCCTTAGTTTCATCTTTTAACACCCTTTAAGGTCTATATCACTAACATAGACATTTCAATATCCTATGACCTCAACCGATTGATTAATTTTGTCACCACCATTTCAACGTTTGCTTTTGACGAACCACAAATTCAGCTTCCCGGTACTTAACAAGTTGGCTTAGAATTCCATTAAAGACAGGGAAATCTGCCCAGCTGAAACTTAATTGATTTTCCCCCACATGCTGCAATCTTGATATGCAATAAATCAATAGAGGTCGTAAAGATTGACCTGCTAATGGTTATTTTGTTAAACCTGTATGAAAATTTGTTGATTGTATTATTCATTGTATCCAGTGGTTGATTTCCTTTCAGTTTTAAATGAAAAGTGCTGGGAAAATTAATACAATGCGTCAATTTCCGGAAAGTTTGACCTCTATATAAAAAAAATACTTCACTACATAAATATAAAACAACAATTAATCAACACAAACTATGCATAGATGTGACAAGACGAATAACATGATCATTGTCGGGTTGCAAAAGTATTATGCTTCAAAGCATTTTGAGCACACATTGCAACCTACTTTTCTTTTCAGTGACTTCAATTAAAAGCAGTATTTTTAACCTGACCAAATATTGACAACAGCAAATGTTGGCAAGAGTTCAATAAACTTTAGATGTTAGTGAATGTTCCATTTATCATACCTGCTCCCTGATGTAATAACGATGCTGCTGACTTGGGATCCAGAGTGGAGTCAGTGGCATCAGCGCCTGTTGAATCTGTATTCAGAGGGAGTGAGATAAAGAGAAAGAATAGCTTGAATTATATTACTCTGAACAAAGTATTTTTATCTGCTAGTTCCAATTCTAAAGGAAAAACATGTCATGCTTGTGTCTTTGTGTGCTGGCTCCATTTAATAAATGTATACTAGCTGAAATGTATTGTATCTTGAAAACTTTGGTTATAAATAAAATGAATAAATGTATGAAAGAAATATTGTGAGGTATATACAAATATACAAAAATATACATGACAAAAATTGAAATAATGGACTGTTCTAATTAGAGCCCATGATAAGATAGCACTGCTTCCCCCTAAAGGTCCAGTATTTCCATTGGACTTGCATAATTGGGTAGTCTAGGATTGCATCATTTTGTATCATAAATAGTCATCAAATATTTCTGTTAATAACAATGCAAAAATAGTGCTTCAGTTGCAGAAAATTGATGAGCTTTAAATAAATGTATAGAGCATGCCCAAAGCACCCTATGTTAATCTTCAAGAATCTTCCTGTATGAAAAGAAATTAGATTCCCAATCACATTCCCAATCTCTAGCCTGGTTAATAGGATTGTTTATGAGAAAGGAATATAACGAAGGAAGGATAAACAAATTAGGAATGATACCGACAGCTAAAAGTTAAAAAACCACCTAACTTTCTAAATTTATACCATGAAAATTCAGCTACCCTCCTAAGGGAAGTTTGCTTATCGGTTACCTAATCTTAATCGGAGTCAAACACTTTGAGCGATCTTGGCTTTGGAACAGGTAGAGAAATTGAACGCGAGAGGAAGTATAAGACATCGAGGGACACTTTTGAGGGGGAAGTGCATGAACTTTGCTTATTTTATCAACACAGCTCATAAACTTTATGACGTTATTAAAAAATGTATGGATGAATGCCAAAAAACAATGCAACTTTGACGTGTGAGGGGTATACATACTGGTGATGCTACATAAAAATGTGGTACATATATGGACAACTTGAGTTGAAAAAGATGTGTAATTTTGAAATTGACATGAAAGAAATGATAAATATATTTGAATATTTGCGTTTGTGATAGGCATGATACAAACCTACATTACATATTGCATTTAAAACTTGTAGATGAGTACCATTTTAAATAATGCCACCGTATAGATTTGCTATGCTTTTACAGATATACCCCAACATTTATTTGTTATTCACAGATACCCTACCAATTGATTTTTATCAATCCATGGATTGACTGATATATCACATGCTGCTGTTCATTCTTGGCAGGTTGTTCACCAAACACTTAGGAGTTGAAAAACATCTTTATTTAACAATTTAACAAAATTTGTCTACCAGGGTATATCTTTTTAATAACATTTAACATCTAGCAAGTTACAATTTAGTCAAAATACATGTAGTTTAGTACGTGGACAGTTTATACATAAAGGACACCAAGAATAAATCTTAAATACAGATTTAAAAATGCATCTCCACATCAAATGGAAAGACTCACAGCAGGAAAATAAAAAGATTACATACAAAGCATTATATATCAAATAGTCTTTTTAGGGAAGTTTTAAAATCAATCCCAATAAAATACTAAATATAGGCTAGGTATGGTGTAAAGTTTCCCACGGTTGATTTGGAAGAGAAATGGTTATTAAATAATTTTGTTTATCAGGATAACAGCACTTGTACAGATAGTCATGCCTGATATCTTTTCTAATTATAAACCAAGTAAAAACCACTAAACACTACCAGAAACAAAAGGATGATTTTGACCGCACAGATAGCTAGTAGCTCTTTGAAACATTTACGGAACAATTATCATTCATTGGTTATCTATGGCAGGTTGAATCTCTTTGACATTGTTTACCACAAATCTGGAATGTTTGCGTGACTGAAAATTCACAAATATATCACTTTTTGAGAGGATTAATCCAATAAGTTCTGCACGATCGCTCATCTTTTCTGTACGATATCACAAGATCTATTGAGGCACATCCCCCAAAACATTAAACAATCAGCCATACTGTTGTATTTGACTGGTATTTTTTCTCAACGTTGAATTCATGGTTAATACCATATAGAAAAAAACACTGCTTAATGCATGCATCAGAATTCACAGTTAATATCACACGAGGGGGGAATACCAAACTTTATTTTCAGCGAAATACCAAGCACAATTAGTGCCCTTTGTAGAAAGAAAGCTTGAAAGTGATTAAAATAAAAACTTCAAACATTCAGATGATGAACAGAAATTATGTCTACAGATCAACCTATTTCTTATCTCTTGATTCATTTAGATAAAGAGCATAGATAGTTTGATTATTTCATTTGTATCACTATCTATCTTGTTTTGTAGACATTATATGCTCAACTCTTGCTTTAAAAAATAAAACTACAAAATGGCATTTTTTGTTTGCATCCCCATCGCCCCAGACTATTCTTTCATGAGCATGCAGTTTTCATTAGCATCTTACTAAAACCACATTTGACCTAACAAAGTTTTTTCAATTTGACCACTAAATCATTCATTTCCCCTATGAATATATACATCGCTCAGCTTTTAGAAACAGTTCAAACTGTCAAAAAGTTATTCCAAGCCAAGTTTGAGCTTAAAAATTATATTTCCCAAATGAAAAACTGCATGTCAGCACTAGAATATCGAGTTAGTCTCCTCTGTAAAACCAGGATGAACTATGGCAAATTCATCATTCTATTAAAAGCCAATAATCTCTGGCGCCTCAATGTACGATTTACAACTTCATCGTTCACCCTACAAAAATCCTAGGATTATTGCAAATTTGTGATTTATTTCTCATCTGACAGCCAAGCTATGGGATTGTACAAGATTGAGAGGATTATCATGCACAATGACAATCAAAATATGGAACAATGGAGACAAATATCTGCGGACTTGGGACACGCGAACTGGAACTAGGCAAATAAAGAAATGTTGAATAAGGGAAATGTGGTTCTGAAAATGTCACGTTCAAGTCACGTCCTGTAATTCAAGGATTTTCCTCATGATATTTCTCAAAAATTTGTGAAAAAGATTGAATTTTTGAATTTCTTAAGAAGGAATAATCCTTTACTGTTAAACATGGGTGTATCTCAATCTAGAATGGCTTTCTCTAACTTTCTCTAAGGTGGTTAATTTTCTCCCCCTCGAATGGTTTAAAAAAAGCATGAATCTGTTCAGTAAATTAGCATCATTTAAAACATTCTTTTCCCTTTCTAAATGGTAATGTTTGAAACAGCGCACTTAAAACAAGACTTCAATATAGTTTTGCCAATTGCCATCTCAAAGATCTTCAAATATTCCAGTATGGTTTTCATACGTTTATTGTAAAGCTGCCAACTTTATGACTTGACATTTCAAATATAGCATAATAAACAGCTTGTGATGTGCATGAATATTAATGTTCCCGCAAGTTGGAAACCAATGAATGCTTCTGCTACCTCTGATGTATCTTAAAACATAAATATTGGAAGGAAAGATGGTTTTAAATGTTTGAAACAGATAAATGGGCGCCATACAAGTGCTGTGGATCATCATCATCATGACCACACAAAAAATATCCTGGTTGAAATCAAGGTTTTTTGTTCTCCAACAAAATATCGATCGCTACAGTCCATGGTTGAATGCTAAGTCAAATATATAAGTTGGCAGAACAATTCTATAGTTGCTTTCACTTTGCTTGTAGTTAATTTCACAATATTTGTTTTAGAACTGCAAAATTATTACTCATCCAATAATGGATCCTTTTCAATGCTTGTAGTTCTTGCCACTTATATATATGATATTTTTGCTTGCTCTTCTTAGGTAATATGACTCTTAAATGTAGCTATTTGATGATTTGTTTGTTTTGTTTTCAAATTGCATGTTAGTTTATCCTGCTCACCATAAATAGTTAATGATTATAATAAAAGTTAACAGATGGAGAGTTTCTCATATCAAATGGACTCCACAGGTTAGAGTTACATCACCATCACCACTGTTATCCACAGTTGCGTCAGATCCAAAACAAGAAACCCAGAAAGAAGGATATATATATATGATTGCCAACATTTGAATTTAGTTGATATATAGTCAATTACTTACAATCAAGAGATGCCGAAGAGTTTTTATCACCTAGAATGTAGCAATAGGCAAATAATATGTCAAATTGATTATGATCACTGGTAGTGAAAGAATCATCTATGTTTTTCCATAAATTTCTCTTAAATAACAAATTTTGATATAAGATATTTCCAAGTAAAACAACTTAAAGAGAAAAGGTAGAATTAAATTGTTTAAATGGTGAAATGGGGGTTAAAGTAATCTCATTCTAAATTAATACTAAATTGTCTCTTTTCCATAATGGCAACTCAGAATGACGCAAAGGTCAATCAGAACTCTTGCGTTCACTTAAAGTTTAAAAAAAGTTAATGTTACTATTAAATTATGGCTGGGATATGAACCCTGCCTATTTGAGCCCTGTTTGAGCCATAGTCTCGGGCTTCGTCTGTTGCCATTGATTCAAATTGATCTCAACTTGCTATCACTCCAGATCAATAGGCCATTTTCTTAATGTAACCAAATTTATTGCATACTTCTTTGTAAAGTGCCTCTCATACAAATTATTTAATTCACCTGTTGCATATATACATCAGTTGTTGCTTGATAGGACAAACATTATGGCTTGCCCTACCTAGCATCAACTAATGTACGTAATTTGCATTCTGACTTTCGAGATACAATTCTTAATAACGGGTGAATGAAATCATTTATATCACACTTCAGTTGGCATATTACAAAAAAGGCTATTGCAACTGTTTATAAGAAGTGCCCTGGTGTCTAAAGAAGTTGCTGCTTATCCACAAGATCATGTCGCCTCTACACCAGACTTAAGTGTGTGTGTGGGTGTGGGAGGGGGGTTGAGAGAAGAAGAAACAACTTACCCATATCTGGTAGGACGAGCTTGATGGGTAAGGCCAACTGAGTCAGGGTGTGCTGGTAGATGAGTGCCGATAAGCTACTGAAGACGGGCTCATTGACACATCCCTTCAGTCGCACCCCTCTGGCGTTGGGCTCGATCAAGAAATGCCTCACCAATTCACTCTGTGGATCGCCACCTATGGAAAGGGAGAGATAAATGGAGGAGAAAAAAAACAAAATTATTAATAATCATCAAATATGATTATACATTTTCTTCATGTACAGACAATTGAGTATTACCCGGAGCTCATGTCTACCGTAGATGCAGTTTATACCGGTATGTGTAAAAATAGAGACAAAAATAAAGACATAAGAACACCATGCTTGTCAGCTGCAATCCAGAAAAGCATCAATTCTGATCCTTCAAAATGGAGCTAACCCTTTTAAAACTAAGCCTAGGATAACTTGGGCTGCGCTCTATGGACTATGTGTGTAAGATGGAGAAAAAAAAACACACACATAACAAATTGTATCCAATAGGTTATTATCCTTCTGGCTTTTGGCAAAAAAGATGTTTAATCTTCAACAAACAAACAATAATCAATTTAGAATTAAAAAAACATGAGATGAGTAACTGCTGTAAGACATGAAGTAAAAAAGAATGTTGAGAAAAGGAAATAAATAGAGAGAAGATGATAAGAGAGAGCAAGAGAGAGTGAGATAGATAGAGATAGAGATAGAGAGAGGGGGAGAGAGAACGAGGGAGGGAGAGAGAGGGGAGAGGGGGAAAGAGGGGAAGAGAGAGAGAGAGAGAGAGAGAGAGAGAGAGAGAGAGAGAGAGAGAGAGAGAGAGAGAGAGAGAGAGAGAGAGAGAGAATGTCTCCCTATCACAATCAAGCCTCCCGTCCCAGCGTCCCAGGGACCGATGGAGAGTGCAGAATCAACATCATGTTGAGGTTTACCAGGATGGCGCAAAAACTAACTCCTAGGTGCGAGCTGGACCAATTTCCTGTATGAATGTCTGATGGTGTATGTGAGCATGGTAATGGTTAACCACACCAATAAGAGCTAGGGGAGCAGGTGGTAGAGGGCTTGTTCATACAAGTAGGTCGTGCTGGTGCGATCTAGACCGATCTAGGTTGGGCTGATATGTTCTTTGAAACGATACTGACTGATGATATAACTAGACTGTAGGGTACCATGTAGTATGTTCTGGATTAAATATGAGATCTTATTCATGGGCAAAAGAGGAAAAAAAGAATCAAAGAAATATGCAGAGAAAGATGACAAGAAGGACATTTCAAAAAAGGGGAATACACAATTAAATTCATCTGGTTACAGAAAATCCTCACCAATAAAAACTAATTAACAACTCGAAACGCCCTACATAAGCGTGTCTTTTTTTTCCTTTATTCAGCCAGCAATAATGCCACAACAATGCCCAAGCAGCACGACTGTTACAGAATCTAGAATACATATCATAAAGCCAAATGGCCATGTGAATGTTCTCCATAGTTGGGGAATTCATCCAAAAATAATTATTACAAAAAAAAGAAAAAAAAAGAAAAAAAAAGGGGGGGGGGGGGGTTGGTGGGAGAACAGGAGTGCAATCACCTGCCATACATGACAAAACTGATTGGAAAGGGATTATAGAACTAAGCTCAAATCTGCCAATTTATGATCCAATTCATATGGGATCAGCGATGGATGAGAACATGCACAAATATTTTTATGAAATTTGATATTACATTGTCTGGAATTGATTATCCATGCACCAAGTGGCATATTTAGGGAGAACATCCTGCCCATGCACCCCCTTTGGAAACTTAAATGGCATACTTAAAGTTCACAACTCTAAGGATGTGCCACCCCACCCTTCTGAGATGATGACCTTTCTATTTTGCTTGTCAGAAAATTTTAGAAATATTGTGCCCCCTCTTTTATACAAAATCCTCAATTCTCCCCTTTATACCTAACACATAGTTGGGTTTGAAAGCAAGCCAATATAACAGGTAAAGCTCATATTAAGCTGGCTTCCTCTGTGAAATAATGGGAAATGGACATATTTCCTTTATTACATAATCTAATATCTTGTTCATGCATGCAGACGTACATGTATATATTATCCTTCTAATATCAAATTAGGCCTACGACCTTTAAACATATCCCGCTATGCTGTAGTGCAAGCAACAATATCCAAATTGAATTTGCTCATAATGAAAGGCTCGATCAATTAAGGTCTATAACCGATGCAATAATGAACGAGGAATGCTCATTAATGTAACGACAAGGCTGAAGTCAACGCATCTTCAATCATACACTTGGGAAATGTTCTGGACAACCTTAACCCTTTCCTTGCTGTGGGCAGCGGATCTTGCATAAGGACATGACTGTTGAATTATGTGAAGGGACTGCCTAGGGTAGCTTATCCAGGGCCCATGAGTACCTAACAAAAGAGGGTCAATTTTTAACTTCATTAGTACCCAAGTTTTAAAGTATAAGGATTACATTCCTTCATTATTTACTATTAGGAATTCAGCCAATTATTATTGGAAAGTTGTCTTTGTGTGGTCCCATTAATGTCTGCTCATGTTGTCTGTTGAGAAACCCAGGTGTTACCATATGGCATGTGCCAAGCTAGGGCATAACATTAATGAGACAAACACCTAAAAGTGCATTAAACTATGACTCTGATGACACCATCATTATCAAGGGTGCAGAGTCCATGTATCATCTGTTCTTTGTAATAGTCAGAAGGGAGTTAACTCTGTGTGAGAGTATATGAGTTAATGCCCTTCTGGCACTCAACGGATGATAAATCCTTAACAGATCGAGAAGGAATTAATGTCCTTTCCCCTAATACACACAATATAAGCCTACAATGAATTGAAAGAATTGCAAACTTTATGCATAATTTAAAATTTGCGATTCAATACCTTTAGCTACCAAAAAAAAATTACTCATAATCTTTTTGAGCATTTGATCCCACAAGCTATCAAAGAATTAGAATAGAATTAAACCCATCCATTGTACATTTATGATAAAATCTACTATTGAATCAGGCAAAATAAGAGAAATTAGTTGTTAATTGGTAAATCTTAAAGAAAGTCAACCCAAAACCTGTGAATCATAGAAAATACAGGCACTCCCGGGGAAAGTTATCCAAAGATTAGAAAATAGAGTGAAAGTATTTTTTGACCCCTTCTAGTTTTACAACACTAGGTAACAGATTAAGTCAAATCATTGAGTCACCGTGTCCGGTCAGACAGTCACGTTACTCGACCTATTGTGCAAACATGCCACTTTTTTTTTACAAAAAGTCATCTACAATGGGTCTCGTCCAATTAATTTAGCTGACACTTTGTGAAAACCATACAGCAAATCTATGAAATTTGTGTCCTTGCGTCATACGACCTCCCCCCAACCTGACGATGCAAAGACCTGATGATTCGAGGTAAGCCCCATGCAACACCCTTAACAAGGCATCATGTCTGATGACAACACAATTCAACCTTAAACATGTTGACAGCTGTCTGTCTGAATAAGCATCACAGAGTTTAAAGGTACAGTCCCAAGTTTCCTGAATTATTTCCAATATTTGGAATGCAGCATGGTGTGATAGACCTTTATAACTTGTAAATCAATTGCTTTGCATTCGATACAAAACTGTACAGGAGACAAAGGCAGAATTTGTTCATTTTTGGAAAAACACTTGTTTTCCTATTAAAATGCAAGGTCTTGGTTTAAAGAAAGGTGTTCGGAAAGACAATTGAGCGATGAGTTTCACTGAGGAATGGACAGGGTGGGGCTTAACTATGAAACAGTATGTAGAGTGACTAAACTTTTTCTCCAGCAACATTTTTCCCAGTGTTTATTTCTTTAAAGATGCAGGTTAGGGTTAGGTGTACTGTTGAAGGAAGGATTTTGGTTGGAGTAGGATATTGATGCCAGAGCAACTGTTGCTGGAGTACGTGTTGTAGAACCATGCAGAGAAATGGGTTCAACAAAATTAGACATCGAGTCTCTCTTTTTTTCTCCCTAAGAGAGGTTTAAAAAAAATTATAACACCATTCCGTCAACTGCCGGAAGTAAGAAAGCTATAAAAAGAACTTTTCAAGCTTACAGAGGCTTAATCCCTTTTTTTAGACCTGCAGTAGGGGGACAGACCAGGAAGGATGTATAGTTTAATGTTCTTTATCGATGAGAATGCATTATGTACCTCGTTAGGCCACACTTAGATTATGCAGTTGCTGCTTGGGACCCATACACAGCTAAGAACATTTCTTCTATCGAACGAGTCCAGAGGCAGGCAGCCCGTTTTGTCACAAGCACTTATCAGAGAGAAGCAAGCGTCACCCACCTTCTAAATTCTCTTAAGTGGAACTCCCTCCAAGACAGACGCGAAGCTCACCGTCTAAGCCGTTTCCACAAAATGTTACATGGCCAGCTGGACATAGATCCCCGAACCCACATTAAACCTAAACCAGATCGTAGCAGACGCGGGCACTCAAGTCAGTTTGAAATACCATTAGCCAGATTGGATGTATACAAGAACTCATTTTTTCCTCGCACAACCGAAGCATGGAATAATCTCAATCCGACCTTAGTATCCCTGACTGACTCAACAAAGTTTAAAGTAGCACTCCTTCCGAAATAAGTCCACTCTCTGCCACCACGACCTCCAGTTTAAATTCCACCAGGAATCTTTTGGAGGAACAACAACCAAGTACCAAGTATGTTCAATATTATGGCTCTTATAAAGCAAGAGAGGGGGAGGAAAAAAAAGAAAGAAGATAAATAGTAAGAGGGAGAGAGAGAGAGGATGATTAAAAATAAATATATGAATGATAATAAAAAACATAGTCTCATTGTCCCTTTAATCATCTACACCGTTTTTTTCTGAAGGTGCTGAATGTAGTTGAGTCAGATGAAGTCATTTGCGGAACAGACAAGCCTGGGATAACGGATCTCTTTCTGATTTTTAATGACAGTTTGCACACGGTTTCCTCTCTGTCTCATCACTGATCTGCTCTAGATTCTACCAAGGTTATCTATCATTCCCCCTTCCCTCTATAGCTGCGCTCCGGTGTTTCGTCGGTACTTGCTAAGCAGGTCCCCATAAACATGACAAACAACCAAAATTTTAAAAAACCCACCTATGAAGTAAAAAATGTAACATGTAATACACATGTATCTG